GTTTAAAATTGATCCTTGGCAGGCAAAAGAGTTTCCTGAGAAAAGCCATGCCTCCTGCAGTTCCAGTAGAGAATTTAAAGTCTTCTTGGATGCAGTAATAAGGTCTGAATATGCTTCACTAACTCCATCAAATGCACAAAATGTAGAGAGCACTGGCTCCTGCATATGATCTATTATTTTTTCATTTTTATCAGCTAAAGATAAATCCATCTTAATTAACCAGCATGTTTTAAACTAATAAAAGACAACTAAGATAATCAAATGAGACATGCAAAACAAGATACCTGCCATAATCTATTTGAACTGGAGGACACTTTCTGAAGTAAGAATCTAAACTCAAGAGTTTTATCCCAGAAAGCCTTGACAGAATAAAGAGAAGTTTCAAGTATGTTAAAAATTATAGATGACATGACAAAATTGAAAGAAGCTGATTAATTTTGAAGCAAAGTTAACTGAAAATGATTATCATGATACAAGGAGAATCTCAAAGTAAAAGTTCTATTTATCTGGGAAAACAAACTATTTATTCCACCATTATAAATAAAATCACCATACCCTTTGATTCTTCACTGCTTGACCTTTTTCAAGATCTTCATTCTTATGACACTTAAGTTTCTTCAATATAACCCTAAGAAGAGAAGAAAAAAAATATGATATTGGAAATTTATTTAATAAAAAAAAAAAGAAACTAACATAATTAAACATTTAAAATGTTTTTTGAGTGCAAACTGGGAAGAGATGTCCAAGAGAAATCTTACTGCTCCCTGTTGGTGAAGATCCATATGCTCTCTTTCAAGCTCTTCTATCTCACTACTTTTATAGACATCATCCTTGTCATTACCATCAACTTCTGTCTCCAATTCCTCTTCATCCTCACCTTCTTCTTCTTCCTCCTCCTCCGATCCCTCCTCTCCATTTTCCCCATCCTCAGAATCACCATCAAGTTCTTCTGCATTTTTGTCTTCATCTTCCTCTAATCCATTTTTTATTGACATCATAAATCCACAATCGAACAAACAATAAGGAAAATGATGCCAATCAAAACAAAACATAACACATTTAAAGTTTACCAACTATTAGTTCTTCATTTTCAAAATCACTATCCTCCTCTTAACCAACATCGTAGCCTCTTGCTCTTTTTGAATGCTTGGAAGCTAATCTCATTTTGAAACCTTGATTTTCAAATAACCAAGCAACAATAAAACTTCAGTTTGGCAAAACTTGCAATTTGCAAAGGGTAATAAAATCAAATCTATGCTTCACTTCTCAATATCTCCTCTTGGTTTTATATGCATCAAATCCTTCCAAAACCAAAAGTTTAAGGAGACTGAGAGTTCAAGAGAGTAGCAGAATGCTAGAGTTTGAAGAATTCAGGAGGGTTCTCAAATCTTGCGCAGCTTAAGTGAGAGACTATAAGTTCTGGACTGAGTTTACAGACATGCAGCAGCAGCAGAATTGAAGGATTTTGGAGGAGACTCTGTTTAAGGTTAAGCTAACTCGAGGTAAGTTAACTAGCCACTTAGCTAGTTTTAGCCTAGACATGAATTTGTTGTGAAATTGAGAAATCTTACGTTCTAATTCAATGACATTCCAGTTTGCTTGATAAAAACCATATTAGTATTAACAGTTATCTAAATTCTGTTATGATAAGTATGATAATTGATGTTTTGAACTGCAGACTAATAATCAAGCATCATACATCATGCTGCATAAGAACTCCTAGAGTCTCTGGAGTACAGAAAGAAGGATATCTAAACGATACCTAGGGATCCTAAAGTTATCTGGGGCTGCCCCCAAAGTTACCAGGGGCTGATCTTGTTGTTCAGACTTCTGTGCAGTATGAAGAGCCATTGGTTGGACCATTGGTATGGAGTGATGTACACCCACAGGAAAATTCCATAGATAGAACTACATTCATTTCAATATTTAGACATGCATAAAGTTATCTTGCTAGTTTATACGTGTTAAAGTCTGTGATTCAAGAAGGATAGAACCTGATTCAAGAGTTCCAATAGACAGAACAACTTTTGATGGAATTGCCTCTTGCAGAGGCAGAGAACTTTGTTGAACTCCGTTTGACAACAGAATAAGGTTTGTGTTTTATGTTGTACCTTAAACGTGTTTACAGATGCTTACTAGCTCATGGAAATATAGTCTTTCCCTGTTGTTACAGACTTTATTAACTACGGGACAGCTAACAACCTGTTGGGAGACTAAGGAACATCTACCCATCAAATGCAAGCTTAGAAGCTAAAGCTTGGTAAGACAAACTTGACATCCGCCCAAAACCTAGTCCTGGCTCAGTTGATGTATCTATACAGATTTTGCACTTAGAAGCTGGTGGAGAGTTTTTTATCAGTTTGTTTTGAGAAAATGCACTTAAACTTAGCATGGACTGTACTTCGTATGCAAACTTTCTATGCTCCAGAATTATCCTTTGTAACGAAGTAAAAATGTTTTCAGCAGCTATTTTATATTTGAAACGTTTTCAAATCAGAACCTTTAAACTGTATCCTAGTTGGTTTACCTGTTTTGGGATGTTACAAAAACCAATGGAAGAAAAGGCAGCAAAACAGAGATTGAAATCATCAAAACAGAATTGCTAGTGTCAACATCTATGTCCACAAACTAATTTCTCAATCAAATTCCATAAACATAATTCGTTTTCACAACAGAATCGACATAAACGGATGAGAAGTTACCGATGGAGCCCGACGAGAATGGAGAGGAGAGTGGGAGAGGGGCTGCCGGAAACAGAGAATGGTGGTGTAATTGCACCAAACCATTAGTTCTTCTTCTGTCCGCATCTTCATTTCGGATTAACTTGCAAAGACCCGAGGTGGATCCTTGGGGTATACACTCCGATGCTTAAGTCAGCAATAATCGGATCTACCTCTAGAATAATAGAAAAAAGAGCTTTAGGTCGGTTTCAATTACCTTTCTGAGGTGGCCTTTGGGGGCTATTTATAGGCCTTAGTAAGGTGTCCACGTGGCTTGCTTAACAAGATAATCGGAGTATGACGTGTCCTTTCAAGGCAATAATTTCGAGATCGAGAAATTGTATGTGGTAAATCTGGTGTGGGCATGTCCATTGTATTTATCATGCAGCCGTTTGATCGGGAAGTATTGGATTTAACTTCAGATCGGTTATTAAGGACTTGTAGCAGTACGTCAGAGGTTAAGGACCTCGGACCTATCCTTACACTATTCCCCCTCGAAGTCATTTACTTATGAACGATATTGTGTAAGGTGGTGGGAGTAATGTATAGTTAGGTGCAAAGAGGAATGACATAATATTAAAGTTGAGTTACTTGAGTTGCAGTTAAAAATGGAAATTGGTAACTCAGATATATGTATGCCCGCAACTAAAAAATAAAAAATGTGGTATGGGGATACCACGGTTGAAGCCGAAGTAACATGTGTGACACGGGGTTACTATGGTCGGAGTCGAAGAAAAATACGTGACGCAGAGTCATTATGAGTGGAGCCTAAGCAAAATATGTGACATGAAGTCATTATGGCCAGAGCCAAAGTGAAATATGTGACGCGGAATCACTATGACCGGAGCCGAAGTACAATATGTGACACGTAGTCACTATGGTTGGAGCCGAAGTAAAATATATGACGCGAAGTCACTATGGTCGGAGCCGAGGTGCAACACTTGTAAAGTTGAAAATTTTTATTATGAAAGGAAACAAAAGTATTGAACTGGGCTTAGTAGGGCCCGTTAAAAAGGTTTGACATAGGGTTAGTGCGTGGCGTGACAAGTGTCTGTTGAAAGACGTGTATAATAAATACGAGTTGTAAAAAAGTAACTACTACAGTTAAACGGACGGGATGGGAAACGAATTGTCGAATTCAAGAGATTTCCATTAGGGATTAATCGTTGAATTCGAAACGGTGTAACTGTGACCGTCAGATGAACTTAATCAGAGTCATTAAGGCGTATATTTCCTTTGGTGTATATAGCTATACTTCTGTAAAAGGAGTTTTACTTTCTCCATATTTGCTACCGAAGTGCTGCCAAACTCTTTACAGTATTTGTGTGAGTGACTTGTGTGACACATTTTTGACTTCAAAACTCGTTCTGCACTATTAAAATCAGGTAACTTATGAATTTTTGTAATTCGAGTTCTAGTGGTGAATTTTATTCTCCTCTTAGCCTTTCTAATTTAGATTTAAGCCCTTTTAAAAAGGTTAGGTTTAAGAGTGATAGTGATATTGAGCGTGAGTTAGAGTTTTTTGAAGATTTTGACTACATCCCTCTCCTTACTCCGTGCAGTGAAAGTTGCGAGATTGAGGAGATGTCTTTTGAGGAAACATTGAGCATTGGGGGGAGCGAGGAAGTAAGGATGTTGGAGTACAGTGATGTAAGTGTTGAGGGTGGGTCGTCTAGGTTTGAGCGTGTGGAGGGAGGGGTAGGTAGAAATGAAGTTGTTAAGGTTGGGGTAGAAGAGGTGCCCGCCAATATATTGAAAGTGGGAGATAGAAGTAATAAGTTTTATGATAGTGGGGCAGACATTGTGTATGAGGTAAAGGAGTATGAGATTGAGCTCAGGAGTAAGGATAGCCTGAGTTATCTCGTAGAGACTTACGAGATTTTCTCTAGAGTATTAATTAGGCTTGCCGGAGTGAAAGAAAGGGCATGCTTTACACCCCGGGATCACTGGATGCCAGTGTATGCCCATTATTTGGTAGTAGGGGTTAGGTTTCCGTTGCCTGATTTGTTGGTGTGGCTGTTGTTGGAGTATAGTGTAGGTTTGACCCAATTATCTTCCAATGCGGTGAGAGTGATAATTGGGTTCATAGTATATTGCCGGGCTAAGGGGGTTAGGGTGCCAACAGTAAATATGTTTATGCACTCTTTTGTGTTGAAGGCTAGGAGTAAAAAGGAGAAGGGGTGGTATTACTTTACACCTCGGTCGTCCAACAAAGAAAAGAGAAACCTGTTTAGTGCAGGGCCTTCCTTCATTAAGGGGTGGAAGGAAAATTTTTTTTTTATTGATGACACCGAGTGAGAGAAGGGGGATGGGAAAGTAGAAGTTTTGTCTACCTGGAAGACTAAAAGGGTCAACCAAAATAAGTATAGTTTAAATAGTGATGAGGAAGAGGAAGTGGAGAAGCTAGTGAGAAAAGAAGGTGATATAATAGATATAATGTTTCTCACCAGCTTGGATGTTATAGAAGCAGTTGAGCTCTATGGACCAAGTTCAATGAGCGAAGGTGTGTTTGTACCTTGTGTGATGTGTGTAAGAATTTATTTTTGATTTGTTGGTTTTAACAAAATTGTTGTTTTGTAGCTGAAATGGACAAATTTCTTGGTGCTGCTGGTGGGGTGGCTATTCCCAAAAAACTGAGGAAAAAGTCCAAGACTTTGGAGAAGGCTGCGAGTGGGAAAGGAGATGGGAACATGGAAAAAGGGCAGATGTCAAGCACAAAAGTCCGAACTGCAGAGGAGGTGGAGCTGAGGTCTAAACGGAAGAAGGATGAAGTGGATCAAGCTCAAAAGAAAAAGAGGAGAGTGGAGGATGAGGTTAGGGGAGACGAGGTAGTGGAGTTCGTACCTCGGCTTGCACCTGTTGAGCTTGATACAGATCTCAGGGAAACTGAGGTTCCTACTCCTGGTAAGGGTAAGCGATTGTTCCCACTTCTTCTCTCCAAAGCAGCATTTTTGAGAGCAAGAACTTCTCCGCGACGAAAAATTTTATCAACGCCTATGTGCCTGAGGTGGATCGCCGCAAAACAAGGGACAAAGCCTTGGTACATGGAGGGACCTCAGTTGTGAGGCATGCTCTAGAGGTAAGCTTGGTGAATATATCTGTTATATGCTGTGTTTTTTGTTTTTTGTTTGTTTGTTTTTTTTTTTTTTGATTGTTTTGTGTTGGTGTGGCATATTACAACTTGGGTTAATGCGCTAGCCTAAGAATTCATAGAGATTGTGAAGGAGTGCAACAACCTGTAGAGGGAAAGGGATGAGTATTGAAGAAGAATGGGGAAATGAAGAGGAAACTAGATATAGTGGTACCAACAGTGACAAGTTTACAAGAGGAGAGAGACACACTGAAGACGATTCTCTCATTTGAGGAGAAGAAAAGGAAGATGTGAGAAGAAGAGAATGAAGCACAAGAGGAAGAAATAAGGAGAATGAGAGAATTCGAAGTGGAAATCAAAAAGAATGTCCAGTTGCTAGTCCACAACGGGATGGAGGAGCACATAAGTAACTTTATCAACTCCAGTTCGTTTGACAACATCGTCAATCTCTACTGACTGCCGACTGCCATCCTCGCCTTCACTGATTGCAGAAAGAAGGTGAAAGCTGAGTATTCTGAAGTTGATATAACCAAGATCACCTTCGGCGAACAAGAGGAAGGGGTGGAGGAAAGTGACGAAAGCATGTCAGCAAATTTTCGACCTCAGGTTAAGCTGAGGTGGGATCATGATGAAGAAGGACGGGTCGTTTTCCCTCCGAACTTTGATTTCGAGTTCGTAGCAGTGGAGGAAGAGGAAGGAGAGGCAGAAGGGGCTGAAGTTGAGAAAAGTCAGCCATCTCCTGCCGTGGAGGTGCATCTAGTTCCCTCTAAAGAAGAGCAGCCACCTCCCCCAGCAGAGCAGGAGCCACCCCAGCCACCTCCTCCAGCGAAGTAGATAGGGATTTTTATATTTTTTTGATTTATGTAATTAGGATTTGGACAATGATTTGTGTACAAGTTTTTTGATTAATTTAAGGAAAATTTTTGAAATTAGTTTGATCATTTATTTTGTACTCGTAAGGATTTAGACAAATAACTCACTTTGGATATGAACTGAGAAAAAGTAAATTATTTTATATATGAACTAGAAACAAGTGAATCACTTCTTATATGAAGTGAAATTCATTAATGAAAATGCAGCCCAAGGAATAGATTCCAAACAAATTGACCTCAGATATACAAGATAATGGATGAAGTGAATCTAAAAAATGACGAAATAATAATTATAAAGGAGAATAAGACAAAGATCACTTGAAAGAAATTTATTAAGGGTAAAATTTATTAAGGGTAAAATTTCTTCAAGTTATTGACGTTCCAGACTCTAGGAATTCGCTTCCCTTCAGCGTCTTGGAGGATATAGGCACTAGGATGTGGCACTTCGGCTACTGTGTAAGTGCCTTCCCATTTCGGGGTTAGTTTGCCAAAACGAGTTTCAAACCCTGTTAGGCTAGCCTTTCTGAGAACAAGGTCTCCTACTTTGAATGTTCGAGGGCGGACTCGTTTGTTGTAGAAGTTGGCTAATTTCTGATTGTATATTAGGGTTCGAAGTCGTGCCTCTTCTCTGACTTCGGTAAGCAGATCAAGGTTTTCTCGAAGCAGTTGTCCATTTCGTCCTTCATCGAAATGGGTTACCCTGAAACTTAGGACCCCTATTTCAATAGGAATGACTGCTTCGGTACCAAAGGCCAGGTGATAGGGTGTTTCACCTATTTCATTAAGTTAAAATTTTTAGTATATGCTTTATATGTTGTGCATATTTGTTCTAAGGTAAAGCAATAGGTGAGGAAGTAAAATAGAATGAAATTAACTTGGGTTGGAAATGGTACCTGTGACAGTTTGGCTCGTTGTTCTATATGCCCATAGGACGTTGTTGAGTTCGTCTGCCCACCTAACCTTATGTTGCTCCAACCTCGGCTTTATTCCCTCCAGGATAGCTTTATTGACAGATTTGACCATACCATTAGATTCCTGATTGTATAAAGAGGTAAATTGTAGTTTGATTCCATAACTGGAGTAGAATTCTCTAAATGAAGAGCAGTTAAACTAAGTACCGTTATCAGCTATGATCTGATTCGAGATTCCATATCTGTAGATGATTGAACCAAAGACAAAGTCCTCAACTTTTCTGGCAGTAAGACTAGATAATGGCCGAGCTTCAATCCATTTTGTGAAATAATCAACACCAACGATCAGATGGGTTCCACCACCAACCCCTTTCATGAATGGTCCTAGAAGATCGAGCCCCCACTGAGTAAATGGCCAAGGTGCTACTAGGTTGGTGAGCTCTTCTACCGGTTGGTGAGTTAAATGTCCAAAGAATTGACACTTCGGGCATCTTTGTACAAAGTGAGTAGCATCCTTATACATATTCGGCCAGTAATATCCTTGTTTGAGGACTTTGTGGGCATGAGTTCTAGCAGCGATGTGGCTTCCACAGACACCTTCATGCAACTCCCCAAGTGCGTACTCAGCTTCATAAGGATTCAAGCATCGTAGGAGGGGGAGTGAGAAAGATCTCTTATAGAGGACTTCATCAACGAGTATGTATCAAGACGCTTTCTTCCTCAACCTCATCTCTTCTTGCTTATCTTTAGGCATTGACCCATCTCGCAAAAAGGAGACAATTGGGTTTGTCTAGCTTGGTGTATTTGGGTATGTGCTGATCTCCATCATTTTTGGCTTTATGAAGCTCAATGCATCTAAAACTTCGACGAACAATGATCTGGAGCTTATGGAGTTGTCAGAGGCAAATTAGAAAGTGAATTGCCTGTTCATTCTCACTTCTAGGGATTTTGCTCAAACAAAATTTATGGAATTCGCACTTTAGCTCAACCACTAGGGCTACATACTTCATCATCACAGGATCAACAACTTTGTAGATTAAGTTGACTTGATTAACCACAGGCTGTGAGTCACTATATACTTGTATCGCCATGACTTTTAGCTCCAATGCTAGTTGCAAACCAAGTAGCAGAGCTTCACACTCAACCACGTTGTTTGTTGCATCGAAGTTAAATTTCAGAGTATGCTCACTTTGGTATCCATCTAGGCCAATTAAGAAAACACCAACTCCTGAACCCTTGCTACTAGACGCTCCATCAACATATAAGGTCCAGTTGCTTGGATTAGGGTTAGGGATTGAGTGACATGGGGTGCATTCCACGATAAAATCCGCTAGTGCTTGAGCTCAGATTGCAAATCTCTGTTGAAATGTTATCTCGAATTCTCCTAGTTCTATTGCCCACTTAATTAACCTTCTAGAGTACTCCGGCTTCTGCAGGATCTATCGAAGAGGTTGGTCTGTGAGGACGATAATTGGATGGGATTGGAAATATGGCCTCATCTTTCTGGCCGAAATGACAACTGCTAATGCTGCTTTCTCAACAATAGGATACCTCAGTTCTGCACCGTGCAGCATGCTGCTGATATAATAGATTGGTTTCTGCTGTTTGGCTTCTTCTCTCACCAGAACTGAACTAATTGCTTCGTCTGAAATTTTGAGGTGCAAATAGAGAATTTCTCCATCTATAGCCTTAGTTAGTAGAGGTGGAGAGCTAAGATAAGACTTTAGCTCATCGTATGCAGCTTGGCATTCTTGGTTCCATTCAAACTTCTTTTGTTTGCCAGATTCATCCTTCTGGGCTACTGACCTCATGATCTTGAAGAATGGCAAGCACTTATTTGCTGACCTCGATATGAATCTATGAAGAGCTGCAACCCTTCTAGTTAATTTCTGTATATCTTTCACCGACTTCGGCGGTTCCATCTTGGCGATTGCTCTGATCTTTTCTAGGTTAACCTCAATCCCCTTCTGGGAAACCATGAAGCCTATAAATTTCCCATACTCCACACTGAAGATACATTTGGATGAGTTTAACCGCATCTTGTTCTTTCTGAGGTTATTGAATGTTTCATCAAGGTCGGCTAGGTGATCCTCTACCTTTAAGCTCTTTACCACGATATCATCGACATAAACTTCCAGATTTCTACCGATCTGAGCTCGGAAGACAATGGTCACCATTTTCTGGTAAGTGGCACCTATGTTTTTTAAGCCAAATGGCATCATGACATAACAATAAATTTCGTCACTGGCATAGAACGAGGTTTTCTCTTCATCCTCCGAAGCCATCGGCACCTGGTGGTAAGTAGAATATGCATCCAAAAAACTTAATCTCTCATTTCCAGAAGGCACTTCAACCAGTTTGTCAATGCTTGGCATCGGATAACAGTCCTTGGGACAAGCTTGGTTGAGATTTGTGTAGTCGATGCACATTCGCCATTTACTGTTTACCTTTTTAACCAGCACCGGGTTAGCCACCCATTCGTAGTAATCAACTCTTCTGACAAAACCGGCTTGTATAAGCTTCTCTACCTCTTCTTTTATAACCTGAAGCCTTTCCCCCCCAAACAGACATCGCTTTTAGGCTATTGGTTTCTTTAATAGATTAGTGCTGAGCTTGTGTTGAGATACCGAGGTTGGGATCCTTGGCATGTCTGCTGAGGTCCAAGCGAAGACATCTTTGTTAGCTCAGAGGAAAGCTATGAGCTCTGCTCTATCCTCTGGGTTCAACCAAGTTTCAATTTGCGTCTTCCTGTTTTGATCTCTTTCATCAATTTGCACTTCCTCCACATCCTCAACTAGGGTGGCTCTAGTTTCATCCTCTGGTCGGTTGTCTATTATCTCAACCCCCATTACCTGCTACTTATCATGAACTGGTTGGGGAATGGTTTATGGTGTTTGATCTTTGCCTTTCTGAGGCCTTATAACCGAGGTAATATAGCAATATCTAGCCACCTCTTGGTTACCTTGTAGCGTTGCTATCCCCATGGGAGTTGGGAACTTCATGCAAAGGTGAGATTGAGAGACCACAGTTTGGATCTCGGTTAATGTGGGTTGTCTAATAACAGCATTGAAAGAGGATGCCATTTTTACAACTAGAAACCGAATTGAAAGGGTAACATAAGTTCGGCCATTCCCAAAAGCAACGTTGAGAGTAAGGGAGGACTCCTTCTACCTGAACAGGTTGATTATTGAATCCATAGATGGAACCATCGTACCTTTGCAACAAAGCTGAATCCAACCTGAGACTCTCAAAACAATGAAAGTACATAATGTTTGGTGCAGTCCCTGTGTCCGCAAGGACACGTTGGACCTCACAGTTGTTAATCATGACAGAAGTAACTAGAGGATCATTGTGAGGTATGACAACTGTATCGAAATCAACAGATGTGAAAGTGATGGGTTGATTCTTCCAATCAACGTTGTCAAACTTTTGTTTCTAAGCTCGGTTTTGATGCTTCACCTCCCTGACATATAGTTTTCGTTGTTTGGGGCTCAAACCCCCTGCTTCCAATCCTTCGGTAATCATGTGTATAATTCTGGCCGGTGGTGGAAGCAGTGGTGGGGCTTGTTGATATCCCACTCCTTGTCTATTTCCTGCATTACGAGATCCCTGCGGTTGTGGCCCCTATTCTCTGACAAACTTCGGCTGCTCGGATCTCTGGATGTATTCATTCAACATTCTCTTCTGAGCTAGACTTTCTAGCTCGAACCTCAGACTTTTTAGCTCAGACCTCAGACTATTACATTGCTCCGTTGTATGACCATGATTTTGATGAAAATCACAGTATCTAGTATGATCACGTGTAGCAGCGGAACTTCTCATTGGCCCTGGTCGCCTCAAGTCCATCTTATTCTTGATCTACATGAATATCTACGACCTCGACAAATTGAAAGGGATCCATGTAACTGGTGCTTTAGTAGTAATTTGCTAGGGTGGTATTGAGTTTGGCTTTCTGAATTTTGGTGTGGAGGTCATCATCAAACCTCGGTTCTACACTGTCTTCATCCGTTTTCTGCTTTGACCCTTATCTCTCCAATTTGGGTTTTGGTTTTTAGGAAGAACTAGTTTCTGTGATAGGGCATATTCCTCAACAGTTATGAATTTCAACGATCTGTCATTAACTTCATTAAAAGTAGCAGCAGGATGCTTGATTAAGCTATCTCTGAATCTCTCCTATTAGAGACCTTGAATTACAGCGGCAATTCCCATGGCTTGGTTGAATGAGCTGACCTCGAAGACTGCCTCGTTGAATCGGCTCATGTAATTCTTCAGAGATTCTCCTTCCCTTTGTTTGACTTGCATCAATTCAGAAGTGGTTTTCCTAATCAACCTTCTACTAGAAAACTTTGTAGCAAAAGTAAATGCCATTTCTAAATAAGAGCTTATCGATCTCGAGGGCAAACTATAATACCAGGTTTGAGCATTGCCATGGAGAGTGGAGGGAAAGATTTTGCACATCAATGCATTAGAAGCATTCTGAGCTTGCATACAAGAGTAGAAGGCATGGAGGTGATCATCTGGATCCTTTGTGCCATCATATGTTTCAAGCTGAGGTATCTTGAAGTCGATTGGGTAAGGTTCCAATGTGATGTTAGTGTGCAGAGGATGAGGTATGGAATTTGTGTTATGATGTGGAGGTGGGGCACCTCGTTGCTCGGCTACCAATTTTTCTAAGCTGTCCAGACGTCGTGTGACATCATCAGGTAGAGTGTGTGGAACTAAGGCTGCATGAGATTGAACCTGAGACTCACTGAGAGCAAGAGCATGTTGAACTGGTTAAAGATCTTGCTATTGAACAGGGGGTTATTGAGTAGGGTTGAGTAGATTGATGAAGGGATCGCCAGGATTATTTTGAGCTAGAAGCTGAGCCAAAACTAACTAGAAGACACTAAACTGTTATTGCATGGCAGCAAGCTGAGTTGTAACTATGTCTTGATTAGTAGTGGAAGCTGAGTTGTGAGTTGAGTTGTGAGGTTGGTTTTCATCTCCGCCTTCTACTCGGTCAACAAGAGGGAATAGATTCGGGATCAGAGGTGGGAGGTGAAGTGGAAGGTTGTTGGGGGGTTGACTTTGACCTTGTCCAAGAGGTTGAGCTTGATTTCCAGCTCGGACAGATCGAGTGTTGACCATAAAAACAAGAGAGCCTTTTGTTCGGATTCCTACAGACTACGCCAATGTAATTGCACCAAACCAGAAGTCTTTCTTCAGTCTGCGTCTTCACTTCGAATGAACCTGCAAAGCCCCGAAGTGGGTCCTTGGGGTAGACACTCCGATGCTTAAGTCAGCAATAATCGAATCTACCTCTAGAATAATGGAAAAAAGGAGCTTTAGGTCGGTTTCAATTATCTTTCTAAGGTGGCCCTGGGGGGTATTTATAGGCCTTAGTAAGGTGTCCACATGGCTTGCTTAACAAGATAATCGGAGTATGACGTGTCCTTTCAGGCGATAATTTCAGGACCAAGAAATTGTATGTGATAAATTCGGTGTGGGCATGTTTATTGTATTTATCATACAGCCATTTGACCAGGAAGTGTTGGATTTAATTTCAGCTCGGTTATTAAGGACTTGTAGCAGTACGTCCGAGATTAAGGACCTCGGACCTATCCTTATAGGTGGATTGGTGCTGGATGAAGAGGGTGTGCGGCAGCTCTGGTTCTAAGGTAATGGAAGGAGGGTGGGTCGTGCGATGATGAAGAAACTGCGGTCGAGTGGTTGGGGACGTGGTGTGGAGCACTGACTGAGGGGACCAAAAATTGGGATGTGGAGGAAAGTTAAACGAAGACATCCTAATACAAGCAAAACTATACTGCATGATGGTACTCATATAAAATTTTAATAATTTTTTTTTAAAATTTATTTATAATTATTAAAAATAATTATTTTTTAATTTAAAAAATTATAATAAATCTTAATTGTTAAAAATAAATAAATAATTAAAATTTTTTATAAATATAATTAAACTTGATAATTTGTGACTCAAATTGTTAAGCATAGATAACTTATCTATTTAAAATGAATTGCTTGTGACTCAATTGATTTTTTAGCTTTAATCTAATAATTTATTTTATTTTATTTTTGTACATCAGAAGCTAAATACCCAACTTAATTTCTAAGGAATATTGTCCCCACACAATCGCTTTGCAAGATGAGTTCTATGCTCATTGGAGACGATGATTTTTTTATTTTATTAAAATAATTAAATAATCAAAAACAATTTCTTCCCTAAAATATGTGCTTTGACCACATTCCACGACTCAGTTCCACTAAGAAGAGTAGAAATCATAGCAAAAGCAAAACTAGAATAGCAGAAAAGGAAGGGATTCAACAATGGCGTCACCATTGTCTCCAACGTCGTCACCATCGTCTCCAACGTCGTCGTGTAGCTCTTTGTCCCTGTCTTGACCATCCTCGTCTATGTTCTCTCATCTCCCAATGATGACGCACAAGGGGAAAATCGTGGAGTCGCATTACACTCATTATCAGTAAAACCAATTGTGATACTTCTGCCTATTCATTTTCACTATTTCTGTTTTTAATTGCTGATATATGTTGCTTATCAAGTGTTCTAATAAGGCCTAATTTTGTTGTCAATGAATTTCATAGAAAGAATTTAAGGCTTTATCTGGTTGATGAGTGCTTGAAACTTTTTTTCATTGTTGTTATAGTCTTAGAATTAAACATACATTAATAAGTTATTCTATCTATAAATTTATTGTTCTTCATTGCTTATCCCTAATTTTTTTTTCCCCAAAAATATCATTTTCAATATTCATTTCTTTGCATAACCACACAACCAGCCACATCACTTGCCTACATTCATTTTTTCGGATTGATAATGTAGTAATCCTACAATATCAAGACCTTTTTTTTTTTTCTTACCTATTTTAATTCTTAAAATTTTTGAATTAGAATTAATTAAGAGTCTATTTATAGAACTTTGTTGGTTGGCTTTTTTCCAATATTCATTTTTTTAGATTTAAAAGGTAAAACAAATAGTAATAGAAAAAGAAGTTTCAACCTAGGTCAACTCACGAGTTAATCCTCTTATGATGGGTAGGTTAGGTCAACCTTCACTAACTTGTGACATATTATGACTCAACCTATTTAACTCGTAACCCGTTTTGACCTAACCCTAACTCAGCCTAGTCCACCCATTTGCCAAGCCTAGTATCAACCCATTGTGCACTTGTCAATGGGTTTTAAACTATTAGGCTGATAGCTTCACCATAATGAGATCACCCACTTAGAACTCTAATAGCCTTTGTTCCTTGTCTACCCATTTCTTCATCTTCTTGGATGCTTTTTCCATGTAGACCTTAGTTATATCCAGCTACTTTTGTGAATTCTTCACCCACTTATATGTTATAAGACAAGCACCAGCATAACCTTACACCACAGCTTGATGCAACAATGGTCATTGACCCATCCAGATCTGAAATAGGCCTTGTGGCATGGACTTGCATTGTTGTAAATTGTATGAAAATTGTGCAACTCCAACAACTTGACTCAATTGCGTTGGTTGGCATTCACAAAGTGCCATAATTATAGCTTCAACAATGCATTCACCCACTATGTTTGTCCATTCATTTACAAATGAAAGCTTGTAAAGAAGTGGAGGTTTGAACCCACAAGCTTAAAGAGCTCCTTCCAAAACTTTCCTATAAACTTGCATCTTGATTGCTAATGATGTTACGAGGAAATCCCCAATACTTTGCCATATGCTTGAAGAATAGGTGAGCTGCCTCCTTCGTCTTATAATCTCATAGGGCTAGGATGGAAGATCTATACTTAGAAAATTGATCCACCACGACTAGTTTGGACTTGCACCCTTCAAACTAAGGGAGCATAGAGATGAAGTCTATGGTGATGCACTCCTATAGGGGCTCCAAAGTTGGCAATGGCTCTAAAAGGCCAGTAGGCTACCTTCGCTCGTCCTTATATTGCTAACACACTAGACATGTCCTTACATAAACCTCCATGTCACCCACTATCCATGTTTAATAAAATAACTCCTCAAGCAATGCCATGATATAGCTGATTCCCAAATGTCTAGCCCACTTTAAGTTATGGCATTCCTCCATCAATTCTTGTTGTAAGTTCCCTAACTTTGGAATATATAGACAATTCCTTACCACGCATAAAGCATCATTGTTGCACCAAAATCATCACATCTTGTCTTCACAAGCAATCTCCATAAAACTCTTGGTGAGTTGAGCATGCTCTAAACCTCCTTAACATGATCTAGTGTGTTTCACTTGGGTTAACTAATGGAGGCAAATTTAACGTTGTAGCATAACACTTTTGCCACAATATTAGCCCGCCCAAATTGATACTACATCAAATAGTTGAACTCCACCATGAAGTCTTGCCATGTCGCTTGCTTAAGTGTGAGCATTTTTTACTTTAGAAATAGCTCATAGGTTATCCAACTTAACCATGAACATCTTCCCAAGCAAGTAATGACACCACACTTATAAGCAGTGGATGATAGCGATCATCTCCTTGTCATATATCAAATACCATTTCTTTATGTCATTAAGTTTGTGACTCTTATACACTATAGGATGCCCATCTTGCATCATGACTCTCCAATCGTAAAGTTTGTTGCGTCTATATGTACCTTGAATGGCTTGTTATAGTCGAACAATGCAAGCATAGGTTCTTGCATTATCGTTTGCTTAAAGTTTTCAAAGACTTATTGAGACTTTGTTGTCCATTCCCATAAGACCATTTTCTTAAGCAAATTTGTCAAAGGTGTGACCTTCACTAAGCATCTTTGAATGAATGACAATAGTAGTTGACTATGCTAACAAATGATCGTAGCTTGGGAATTGAACTAGAAAGCTCCTACTTATAAATGGTCTGTATCTTGACTGAGTCTAGATATCCTTCCATGACCTAGAACATCACCTTTTGTTGTGTAAAGGAGTATTTCTCATTTTTCATGTAAAGCTTATGTTGTTGTAGTCCTTAGAAAACTTATTGGAGATGCTATAAATGCTCCTCTAAAGTCTCGCTATAAATTACAATGTTATCTAAATACACCACTACAAACTTGATGAGGAAGAAATGGAATGCCTTGTTTATTAAAGTGTAGAAAGTTATGGAAGCATTTGTGACATCACATGGCATCATCAAGAACACATAGGCACCATAGTGTGTTGAACGTGTGGTCTTGGCCTTGTCTTTTTTGGCTATTCTCAATTGCCAATACCCAACCTTAAATCAAGCTTGGAAAACCAACACACCTTGCCAAGCTTGTCAAATGGATCATTGATCAAAGAAATAAGGTATTTGTTATTCACCATCATTTTGTTAAGCGCTTGATAATCAATACATATGTGTAAGCTCCCATCATGCATCTTTTGAAAGAACAATAAGGCTCCAAAAGGTGCTTTAAAGGAATGGGTGGATCCTACATTAAGTAGCTTATTTACTTGCTTTCAAAGTTCCTTCAACTCAAGTAAAGCCATACGATATAAGCTTATAATTGGTGGATTTGTATTAGGCTCTAGCTTAATGGCATGATCAACTTGCCTCCATGATGGAAGCTTCTTAGACAACTATAGAAGCATCACATCTTTGAACTCTTAGATAATTTCTTGAATTTCTCATGGAACATCAAAAGATGAGGTATTATCCTCCTTTAAAGTAGTTAAGTGTCCTTATCTCGATTAACACCTTTAGATATTTACATAGCCAAGAGAACCTTCTCCATAATATGTAGCCCTTCTAGTGACACATTATGAAAATAACTCATGTCTTGAAAGTGTATGTACCTATTCTCTGTTAAAGTAAAGAGCAATTATCAATCAATGAAATCATCCCCTACCACTAGCTTGAAGTCATGCATAGATATAACATTCAAGTCAATCTTCATTGATCATAAGTTTATTTGCATAAATACCTCACATGTTACATCACAAATTCGTTTTGAAAGCTTGTTAACGACCTTCGCCTAACCTAGCTCGTTTGTGCATAGTAAAACTAATTCCTTTGCTAAGCTTGTTGTGATCAAATTAATTACTATAATAATAATCAACACATGGATTGCCCAAGCAATGTGAATGTTAACCATGCACACTTTAAATAAAAAACAATACATTTTATCAATTAAGAGTGCATGTCTTATTCAACACAAATAATTTTTTACCCCAATGATTGAGTATAACAATAAACAAGTGTTGTTTTATAGGTTAAGTCTAAGGGTTTAGGTCTTGGGCCTAGCACCTAAAGAAATTAATTTTTGTAAATTTACCAAGTTGATACAAGGGATGCACCCTTAAGATTATCCAAGAAGAAATTAATCTCGAAATATATGAAAATTGGTTTAGGAACACCATA